TTGGAAAAGCCAAATGTTGCTTGAGTTTCTCAAGAAGACAATGATCCCTATGAATCTTAATACACTGTTGTGAAAGACCCTTCTCAACAAAATGATCACATCAGCTTCACACCGAACCTACAAAAAGCTCTCATTTCTCTCCTCTAACAAACTCATCATGCACCATCCTCAAACATACATCATCTTTATTTATCAAAGGTAATTTTGAGTCCACTAACTCTTTAGATTATTGCCCTAATCTTAATTGGATTTAGACAGAAGTGCGTCACTCCAAGTCCTTTTTATTCAAATTTAGGCTTTCTAATTTTCAACTAATTTAATAAATATACCTGAATTCACATATAACCTTGATTGCAATTTAATTTTTTATATTTTTTAGTCAAACATAAAAAACCTTCCCTTTAGGACAACAAGTTTAAATCCATTTTTTATTTTGATTTAGTTCACATTGATATATGAGGTCTTTTTTATTTTGATAGTCTAACACAACCGTACAAAACTAGTTGGTAAGATTCGATCAATAAGCTCTAATATTATATTAGAGTTTGACCTATCATAACTTTACGGTTGATAAACTGAGAGATGTCACTCTATATAAACTATTTCAATACTCTATCTCTAACTAAGGTGGGATTTTAAATCTTAAATTTTCACAATAAAATTAAATACGAGGCTTAATTTTTAATCAAATCCTTTTTTCTTATATCCAAACCCAATTTCAAACTAAAATCAAATGCATAAGGTTTGAAAAATGGCATTGGGTTCATTCTTAAAAGTTTTTACATAACTCTAGGTGATACTCATGCTCTTCTCTTTCAATCCAAACTCTCCAATTTTGTTAGGCTTGTGCTCTTTCCCATGAGATTTACATTATAAATAGATTAATTTCAAATTCATTATCTTTTCATTCTCATTTCAATTTACCACACACAACATGACTATGTCGCTGTGAAATCGTATGGTTATCTAATTTTTTCATGTAACCCAAAAAAGATATATAACTAAACTTGATCATAGGTCTAAAAAGTGTGTTTATTTAGAACTTAAAATGGTGTTAAAGATCATTCTATATGACATTCATAATAAACAAATCTCATTTCTAGAGACACCATTTTCTTTAAAAATATTTACCATTATCATTTTCCTTCAACAAATTCTAGCAACACACCCCATCCCACCTTCCATCTTAATACTGACTTCTCCTTAAATTACTTAAACAATCATGTTCAATCTGCTTTTGACCCCAACCATCCTACCCTAAACCTATCAGCATTTCTGCATCCCACCACACCAATCCCACCACTCATTCCATTATCCCTACCAACACTACTACTCGCCCAATACAACACTTATCCTACACAATTAGTAACAACAATCCTTCACATGTTTTTAGGGGTGTTTAAATCCAAACCAATCTAAATAAAAATTGTAAATCGATCCAAAAAAATTAAAAACTACAAAAAAAACAAAAAAATTATTGAATGAGTTTGGATGTCATTTTATAAACACCAATCGGTTCGAATTGAATTTCACATTAATTTTTCAAAACCCATCCAAATCAAATGAACCGCATGTATATATTTGTATACTTATTTATTTTTTATTAGAATAATATATTGTGTTATTTTATTATTAACTATTTATTAATTTGATTTAATCTATTAATTTTTATTATTTTATTTGTTTAAATCATAACTCATCATTATCATCTCGTAATATTAATTTTTAATAAAGTATATATATATATATTATATATTATATTAAATTTATTATTTATCAGTGTTTTATACAATAATAATAAAATTATATTTTGTAATTTGAATATTCAAAAACCAATTCAAATTTAACCGCAAAAAATTAGATTGAGTTTTTCTAATCGATCATCCAAAACTAAATCAAACCGCACGTAATTATATTTTTAAATCAGATCACATTTTACTTCAAAATCAATCCAAACCGAACCGCGAACACTCCTATGTGTTTCTAGCACTCTCCCATCTCAACGCAAAAAATTAGATTGAGTTTTTCTAATCGATCATCCAAAACCAAATCAAACCGCACGTAATTATATTTTTAAATCAGATCACATTTTACTTCAAAATCAATCCAAACCGAACCGCGAACACTCCTATGTGTTTCTAGCACTCTCCCATCTCAACGCAAAAAATTAGATTGAGTTTTTCTAATCGATCATCCAAAACCAAATCAAACCGCACGTAATTATATTTTTAAATCAGATCACATTTTACTTCAAAATCAATCCAAACCGAACCGCGAACACTCCTATGTGTTTCTAGCACTCTCCCATCTCAACGCAAAAAATTAGATTGAGTTTTTCTAATCGATCATCCAAAACCAAATCAAACCGCACGTAATTATATTTTTAAATCAGATGACATTTTACTTCAAAATCAATCCAAACTGAACCGCGAACACTCCTATGTGTTTCTAGCACTCTCCCTTTCCAAACCTCATAGTTATCTCCAAAACTACCACTGGTTTCTCATTCAATGTGCCCTTATCTTAGATTTTCCATTACACTAATTTTTCGCCCCCATATAACCACTCTGCAGGAGGGGGTGTTACAATACTGCCACATATTTATTTTTATCAATTTTTATAATTTCTTTGAATTAATTATTTTTGTAAAGATTGTTAGTGCGAAGAAATTATAATTGAGCTTAACTCAATCGATATAAAATCGGTTGGTAAAGTAAGGATTGCACCCACTTATAAATACATGTTCATGCTATATATTATTCAATGTGGAACTCTTAACACACACTCTCACGCTCAGAATTAGACAACTGAAGCGTGAAAATAAATGGTGGGTGACCCAATAGCGGAAACCGTGACCCACCAAATCTTAAACCAGACTCTGATACCATGTTAATAAATTATGATTGGATCTAACTCAACCCTACAAAATCGGTTGGTAAGATGATGATTACTCCCACTTATAAAAACATATTTATGTCATATATTATCCGATATCCGTTATGTGACTGAGAATTTTATTCTAACTAACTTAAGTCCATTGTGCCTATATAAACCCTGAGGCCAGCCAATATTCTTTCAAGATTTAAGAATAATTAGAAGTTTATTTTATTTTTTTTTTGTTTTCTGGTTCCATCATGTTCAGAAAATACCTTTCCTTGCACAAGTGTCAACAATTTCTTATCGACATTTAATGTCTTCTTCAAATATACCACACACCATTCTTCACGTATCCAACTTTACAGTACTTGACTTCTTAGATTTGTTAAGGACTTTTTCATCTCTATTAGCTCATTTTCTATTTTCAAAGATGTTGTACCTTTTTACAAATAAACTCATTTCTTTATCATTATATCCATCATCACTGTCTCTATATTTTCCAATAATTCTCCCTTTTTTGTCCTGGACATCTTAAGCCATCTCTTAAGATGGTAGGCACATGTGGGTAGTTTTCATATGTATCCCAAACTTGTAAATCATAAGATATAGTAAGGATTTTCATGAGTTGTCCTTCACCTTTAAAAGCAAGTGGTTTATTGTATGCTTTTAGGTTCTAGAGAAGTCATAAGAGTACTCTTGATTCTGTTAGACCTTTAAATAAGAGATAAACTAGTAATATCACTTGTTATACTTTATGATTTTCAAAATACTAGAGAGTGAAACCACATTTCACCTGTGTTAAGGAAAAGCATAACTTTAAAAAATCAGTAGATGAGCGAGTATGGTAAAAGCAACACGTAAATCGCAAAATTTGAATTGCAAAACACACAAAGTAAAGTTTCTATAGCAAAAGCCACACTAGAGTTATGCTAAAGGGACGCGCACACATACTGAATTTATTGTTTATGCTACACCTGTTTCACACCATGCCACGTTAGGGAGGATGCATCAGGGGAATCAGTTCGATTGCCAGTTTCTTAGAAGCACGTTTCTCCAAGGCCCCATATGTTGGTTACCTTTTGAAGATAGTTGGATTAAAACTAACTTGGATGGTGATATCTCTTCCAAATGAGAAAGCATTATGGGGGAACATTTTCAGACACTCTAATGATGCTTTCAACCTAGGCTAAGGTTATAGAAAAATTATTGATGAGTGACTCTCATGATGATGCTTTCAACCTAGGCCAAGGTTATAGAAAAAATATTGATGAGTGACTCTGATGACCATTCACCTACAAGAGGATTGTACTACGATTCATCCTTGCTATCCTATTTTGCACCACATACACTCCTTTTCAAACCTTGATGGCAAGCTTAAATGGATTTGTGAGGTGGTTAAACTAAATCATTCATATTGGCATAAAAGAATATGGAACTGAATTTGGAAATGATTATTTCAGTGTGCGACAATCTCATCATTGATAGATATGAAAACAAATATGCTACCAAAACTGTGCAAAACAATTTGATAGAGAAACAATTTTGCAGCATGGGCATTGCTCAAACAAATATGCACTTCTTCAGAAACAAGTATGGAAGATTCAGTAACTTCAAACCTGACTGAAATGCAATACTGCAAGCTGCATTTACCATATAATGAACCACGAGAGAAAAACGTGCAGAAGTTACAAACCACAATTCATTAAGAATCTAACCCCAAGCAATCTTACATTTAACTATTTTGCTTTTAAGGAGCACAAATCATGGCATCATGTCTGCCAACTACATCAAACTCCAACTAGATTAAAAGCTTATCTTATGGCATCTCAAACCTTGTTGATATCATCGATTTGCATTTCAAGAGCTCAAATCATTCCTTTGTAAGAAGTCACCTCCTTCGGAATTGTTATTTTAAGCTCGCATTAGGGTTAAAAAGTTTTGATTCTGTAACCAAACACACCAAGTATGTGAGGCTTTTTACGCTTACTTTAGGGTTAAAAGTTTTGACTGTCTTGCTGAAATGTTAATGTATGCTGGATGCCAGGCATGAAGATTATAATAGAAGCAGCAAAGGCCTTCAATGCTATAACTCTAGGAGACTGACAGGTTTCTTGGACTGATATCTATCGTGAAAGTAGTTTGTATGAGGGTAAGTCTTCAAGATGCAATACTTCTTCTTGAAGAAGCTCTTTCTCTAGCTCACGTCGTGTAGATTTCATCACTGTCTGCCAGAACATTGATAATTGTTATATTAGCAAAAAAAGTCGCTAGTAATCTATGGATAAGAAGTAAAAGGTCAGCTGCTGAGAAACAAGGTAATGTTCACCTCCAAAACAATCTTAAAAAAAAAAAAAAAAACTCTTACGGTTAGGGACTCAATACAAGGATCCCTTGTTTGATAAAACGTTTTCTGCAACGAAACGACTAATGATTACAAAAATGACAATGTTTTCACTTTGTTTTTGTTTTCAACGATTTGTATAGGAAAACATTTACACAAATTTTGAAAACAAACAATTCAGAGAAAGAATGTCTAATATTTCTAGTCTGTGTCATGATATTCGTTTTTGTACTTAATAATAAAAATAGAACAGTGCATTTTTCTTTAAACTCAAATTAATACCCTTGATTAAATTTGGTTGACCCATAATATTTTCCCTATTTGTACAAGCTGAGAATAAGGGATACTTACATTAAAATCCATGTATGAGGCGCGCATAGAAAGCCATTGGTGATCCATCAGCTTGAAAGCTATGCAGTAGAGAAGATCAAAAGCTGATTCATTTTCTGCCAGACAAACATGAATAGATTTAGTTACTGAAAGTTGCAAGCTAACACTGAAAAATGCAAGTAAATGCTATAATATTGTAGACACAAGTTTTTGATACGACCAAATTCCTTTCCTCCCTTGATCCATAAAAAAACTCGAGGATGGAGTTCAGGCTACCTTCAAGAAACTTTAGAAAAGTTGCTCCCACCAGTGTGCGTGGCTTCACTGTAAATGCAAAGGATATTATTATTAGAAAATATTATGCAATTCTAACAATTATTATTAAATAACTGTTCCTGAGACTGATTCAATTTATAACAATATGTCATCATCATGAATGACCCAAGAGGTAACTTGTCACTGACCGTTTCTATACTGATTTATTCAATAGTAAAATGTCAGCATATATAACATTGAAAGGTCACCCTAAATTTTAAAACAGTTTCATGATTTAATTTGTCTGGTCATCAGAAAAACCAACATATCAATAATCAGAAACAAGAAATTATAATAACATGGAAAGTAACAGACCTGCTTCAAGATCAAGCATCTGCACCAGCATGAATGTGATGTTAACACCAGCAACAGCGAACGGATATTCCCACACGGACCTATCTCCTTCCCGCTTCCATAAAAGATCCTGGAACGATTTCTACAAAAATAGAAAGTATAGGTTTTATGATACATACATGAGTTGTAACTGATCTGACCCAAGGTTGATCAGAAGAATAAACCAAAAATTAAGCAAAAAAAAAGCATGATCCTTTCATAGTAAACTTCTATTTCTGACAACCTATGTAATTTATTTGTTACAGTTTCAAATTAGATTGAACAAACCAAGAATTAAATCATACCGGGAAATTCCTAGCAAAGAACAGAAAATTCTCCAAAGAAATAAAACCACCACCCCTTACAAAACACATACAAATAAAAATTATTAGTAACAACTAATTAAGATTAACACAAGATCTGACAGTGAAAAAATTAAGGACAATATCTACCTAAAATCTGTTGATGGATCCTTCCCTTGCCAGCCCATTTCCTTCCATTGCTCAGATATCAAGCCACGGAGTTCTTCTTCAGGAAATGCAACATTCCATAAAGCCCTAAGGGCCTCCTAAAATGTATAATATATGTAAGTTAAAGTCACAAGGAAAGAATAAGATAACTGTGAGTACATAGGCTAAAAAAATTTACTTACATCAATAACTGTTGCCACATTCTTTACATAGACTGAAAAATAGTAGTGATAGAAATGGTACCTGGTGCTCAATTTTAGAACTGTCATATGGAACATCTATTCGTCTCTGTAGCCTCTGCAAGCATTCCTCCTAAGGATTGAAATTTCAACATTATAGTAATTTGTTGTGACTAAATTAAAACAGAAATATATAATAGAAAATGTAAGTAGAAAATGCTCCCAAATTTCACATGGTATACAGGGAACACGAGTATATTGGAAACGTAAAACATACAAATGATTAGCAATTGGTAATCAAAACTCCATCCGATAACAATGTACATGATTTGGAGGACAAACAGGAAAAGGAGTACATAACCAGAAATACAACAGAAAGTTACTTTCGTTATTTGGTAAGATCAAGATTGCAAAATGTTCCTTGAAACCAGTTTAGAAGATGTGTTGTTTTTAAAAAAGTTGAAGCATTCTCACTCCATATCACATTCTCTTAAATAATTTGTTTTCTTTTAGCTTTTGCTGGAAGATGCATAGGGCACAAAAGTTAACAGAAATACCCATTACCCAACATAAATCTAAAGAAGCTTTGGAAATTATAGAAATAGTACCTGGGCTAGACTTAAATCAAAAAAGCTAGAAGCATCACTATCTCTTCTCTGTACACATACACAAGACAGGCTTCTACCAAGCCATGCTGCTGATCCTGCCACAGCCTCAGCTGTAATGAAACAAAATTGCCTATCAATGACTATTTAAAGACCTTTTATGCTACAAATTTCATCCTAAGTTAATAAACAAGCAAAATTTGTTTCAGTAAGCACTCATTTCATCCTTAGCACACAGTTTCTTTATACTTCAATTTCCCATGTAAAAACAGAAGCATTCAGCTTATATGAACCACATTTTCATACGAAAACAAGAATGTGAGTTTCTATAAATGGTTTTTTTTCTAACAATAATGACTAAAATGTGTAAAAGCAGCACGATACATCATCTCCTTGAATCCCATTTCAAGGCAAAGAAAGAAACTGTAAATCAATGTTAATTTCCCAAACAATTTATGTGTTCATAATAATCAGAACAAGCTTAACCTATAAACCTCAAACAAAAAAAAACAAAGCCAATTATAGATGAATTTCACGAACACCAGATCTAGAGGGATAAAAAAGTAAAATAAATTAATATAATGAAATTGAAAGAAAAAAAAAAAAGTAGATATAAAAAAAAAATCACCTACCAATGCAATTTAGAATATCACCCATCATCAGATCACGAAGCTAAAATAAAATAAAATAATACATATATGGTTTATGATCAATCTATAGAGGTACGACAACTAGACAAGTACAACTATAGAGAGAGAAAAAAGTTGCTAAAAAAAACAAAAGAAAAAGAGATAAAATAAAAAAAATAAAAATAAAAATATTGACCGGAATTTGAATTGCAGGTTTCTCCATGCGGTGTAGTTCTTCTAACAGCTACGAATGAAGCACCTCTATTGTCCATTTTCTTCTTCTTTTTCTTCAACAATATCTACTACAATAGCATCAACATCATCGTCACCAACCTAGAGTCCATTATTTAATGGTGAATCTCACAGCGGAATCTGAATACGCTGGAAACCGTAAAATCACGCCGTGGAAATCCGAAGATGCCGGCAACGAACGGAGCGTGAATCGGAGGTGACGGAATCCGGTGAGAGATAGAGTGGAGGAGAAGAATGAGGAATGGAATGGGCGAAGAGAAGAGTTAGGGTTTGATCGAGATCTGGAATGGAATAATATAACAAGAGTTTTGAAATGGAAAACGGTTACGGTTAGAGTTGGAGATGAAGAGAAAACTCTTACTCTGCTCTTATGCTTTGCTTCACTTTCGTTATTATGGCGTTAACGTTTTGTTTTGATTTGTTTAAATTTATATTCTCGCTTTGTATCGTGGTATAAATTTGGTTTAAATAGGATTTTTTTGTTGCTCTTAATATCATAATTCATACTATTTCGGGTATATTGCAGCAATATTGGATGTTGTTTTTAGTTTTAATTTTGTTAACAGTTAAAGTTAATTTTTTTTTATAGAAAAAAATATAAATTAAAAAAGTAAGTTAAATTTAAATTTTTAAAATGATTTTTTTTCATTTTTTTTGAAATAAAGATTCTTTATTGACCAAAAAGCGATTACAACCAAGCGATTTTAGAATGAGATCCAGCTAAACAAGAGGACAAAACAAAACTACACCCAAGGCATTAGTAAGCTGCCAATAGTTTTCCTGAGTTTGTTTTTCATCCAACATCTATAGACTATAACATCTATGATTTTGGATTCAACAAGGCTATGATTACTAGCTGTACCGAAACAAGCTTCATTCCTTAATCTTCATAGCTCGTATATAGTTTTTGCCAAAGCACACTTTAGGATTTTAAACTTGGGATTCTTGAATTTACTCTTGTCTATGACCCAATTAAGCTCAAACTCCCAATTGTCAGGGTTGTACCTTATCTGAAGCTAGTTCAGAACCTTACTCCAAATGTGTTTCATAGTGTTGTAGTGAAAGAACAACTGTTTAATGTTTTCTTTCTCTCTACAGAAACAACATTCATCATCTATTTGAATCCCAAATCTTTTAAGTCTCTCCTTGGTAGCCAACCTTTTATGACACGCCATCCAAAGTGTGAATTATTCCCTTGCCCTAGCTGGACTATTGTAGAAAATCTTCCTCCAAGCCATCACTTGATGAGTATCGTTTAAAACAACATACATATTTGTGAGATGTTGGATCGAACTCTAGTATGATCGACGTCTATTTGCGAGTAATGCGTGTTGTAGTCGAAGTTTGTTCTAACATGCATTAGTCAATATTGCTAGGGTTGTTGGCATGTTGAATTGGGTCTTGCTTGTAAGCCCAATTGTTTAAGTTAGCTTGTAATGTGTAATTGTTAAAAAAACCCATTAGGTTAGTGTGATATTTTTCCTATAAATAGGATATTAGTTTCTCAATCTTATCATAAGGAAAAATAGGAAGATAAAATCCTAATTTCAAGAGAGAGAGGTTATTTTGTTATTCTTGTATACTTGTAATCTTGTTCTAAGAGAAAGGAAAGAATAGCAGTTTAATAACCAATCCTTGTTGTTTTCTTCATTATAACCCTAACCCTTGTGTATTTCTTGATCATTAAGAAACTGTTTATACTTAGTTTTAAGGTATCTGATTCACAACAAATTGGTGCGGTGAGCGTGGAGAAGATGTCTTCAACAAAGTATGAGATTGAAAAGTTCACCGGAGTGAACGACTTCGGTCTGTAAAGCTTGAAGATGAAAGCCCTATTGGTTCAGTAGGGTTGTTTGAAAGCGTTGAAGGGTGAGGCAGCCATGGACGTTACGTTAACGACAAAAGAAAAGACGAGCATGATCGAGAAAGCCCACAACGCAATATTATTGAGCCTTGGGGATAAGATTCTTCGACAGGTATCAAATGAGACTACAACATTGAGATTATGGGTGAAACTTGAAAGTTTATACATGATCAAATCTCTGGTGAATCGACTCTACCTGAAGCAAGCTTTATATTCATTCAAGACGAGTGAAGACAAAGTGTTGGCTGAGCTGTTAGATATGTTCAACAAGCTGATTCTTGATCTCAAAAATGTTGATGTGAAGATCGATGATGAAGATGAAACAATGTTGCTGCTGTGTGCTTTGCCCAGAACACATGCTCACTTCAAAGAAACTCTCTTGTATGAAAGGGACCCCCTGACCTTTGAAGAAGTTCAATCAACCTTGTATTCTAAGGACTTGAACGAATGAAAGGAGCATAAAACTTCGACGGTGGGCGAAGGTTTGGCCGTTAAGGGAAAATTCTTGCGAAAGGATGGTAGGTTCGACAAGAAGAAAGGTAAAAGTCAACAGAAGTCTTATAGTGGCGAAACATCTAGTATTCAATGTTATCATTGTAAGAAGGAGGGTCACATAAGAAAGGTGTTCCCTGAACGCCTGAAAGATAGTGGAGGTAATGACAATGCAACCATTGTTCAAGATGACTTCGACTCATCTGATGTTCTTGTGGTTTCAAGTGGCGACTCGAGAAAATAGTGGATTATGGATTCAGGTTGCACTTGACACATGACTCCAAACAGAAAATTGTTCGAGGAGCTATGTGATCAAGATGGTGGATCTGTGCTACTGGAGAATAAAAAATCTTGCAAAATTTCAGGTATTGGATCTGTGAGATTCAAGCTCCATGATGAGCCAATAAGTTTATTGACTGAAGTCAGGTACGTACCTGACTTGAAGAGAAATTTGATTTCTCTTGGTGAATTCGACAGAAAAGGATACATTTTTCAAGGAGAGAAAAGTATCCTAAGAGTCATGAAGGGGTCGAAGGAAGTTTTGAGAGGCATGGAGAAACAAGGATCCATTAGTGAGAAGATTTTTATTCTCCAAGGAACAGCGAGAATATTTTTAAAAGCAAGCACCACGAGATTTAAATCACATTCAATCCACAACTTTTGTCAATCTTTTGGTAAGCATTTTCAATGGCGCACATAATTTCATTCGACTTTGCTATAAAAGTTGTGTGATCAAGAAGCATGTCAAAACTCAAAAGAGCCAAGATAAAAGAGCCAAGATGATTCCTATAACGATCTTAGAAAACTCCACCACAAGCAGTTTGACCCAGATTAACTAGAAAGGCTCCATTAGTGTTGGCTTTAATTTAGTCAAAAATTCGAGGTGTCCAAAAGATTTTGGTAAGGAAGAATGAACCTTGATATTCACTACTACAAAAAGTAATATTACGATGTGCTGACATCTCTAAAATCAAGTGTTATCATTTTTATTTATTTATTAATTAAAAAGTTTACATATTATTTAGGTTGGATAAAGTAACCATGGTGAAATTCGTAAAGTTCATGTGTTTGAATCTCTAGCGCCAATAAATTTGTGATTTCTTTAACATTATAGTGTCTCATTTTGTTTTAATTTATTTTTAAATTATTTATAAGTTAGATTTCACTACGGTTGAATATTCCAACTGTGTTAATACCTTTTACCTCTTTTTTATAGTGAGATTTTTCTTTTTGATTTATTTTTAAACTAAAAACTAGTCGAATATTTGTGCTCTCGCACGGGTAAAATTAACTTCTAATAATAGAGATAAATTATTTTGATATACTTGTATAATGTTCAAATGAACAGAGAAAGCATAACTAAGACCAATGGAAAAAAAATTATAAGATAAAAGAATTGCATTGCATTCTAAAAAATTAGTTGCAAAGTTGACGTACATACGACTAATATCTTAGTTATGGTCAAAAAATTACATTCATGCAAACAGTAAACATTAAAAAAAAAGTTATTAATTATTTTGATATACCCATGAGAAGAAAATTTAGATGTTTAGATTATTAAGTAATATTCTTCTTCATGCCACCCAAAGGAGCTTTGAGTTTGAAAGACTATAGGAAGTTGTTTGTCTCTCTAAAGTGAGGTCCAACAGTCAAGATTTCGTGAATTAGATCTTTCAATACAAATGATCACGTGCTTCTCAAGAATCTGTAATGAATAACATGTTAGGAGAAAAATTGAGAAAAAAAAAATAGTGAGACCACAAAAACAGTTAACAACAACTATGATAGCAACACCATAACTTTATACATCAAAATTTCATTAGTAAAAAAAACACATTAAACACTTTCAAACAACTATGATGTATTGATCAATTTAATAAAAAATATATTTAATTTTATTCAATTAAAAAAAAACTAAGTTAAATACTATAATAAATAGAATTATTGTTTGAGCAATCAATTATTTTTAATATAGGTAAAGCAATCAATTAACATAAATCAAGATTAATTAAAAGAATAGTCAACCTTTTAAAACTAATTTGTTAATGTTTAAAAGCAAAAATTAATTTGTTAATGAGTACAAAACAATTAATACATCTATATTTATCCCAAACATAAAAACGTAACCAAAATGATTAATCAAAAGTTACAGTATTAATGTATGACATGATTTAACTCAAATCAAACAAAATAAATTGTTTTTTTAGAAGTTTTTTACAATTTAAAATATAGTAGTTTAAAAGTTAGCGACTGATTGGAGAAATTGTTGGAAATTCACCTCACACCCTATGAAGAATTCCCTTCAATCTTGATCTCAAGATTGATGAACAAACCCAAAATATTCAAATCAAATCTAATCATATCAAATCAAATCAAAACAATGAATTACATTTAACACACCACCTAATTCATTGTGTCTAAACTGTCTACATTCATCATGACTCTTAGTCTTCTGAAGGCTTCGACCTGCACTCCCTTCGTCATGATATCTGCAATCTGATTCTCAGTTCTGCAGTGTTCCAACTTCATCTTCCCTTCTACTACCTGCTCTCGAAGATAATGGAACCTCATTTCAATGTGCTTGCTTCGACCATGTTTCACAAATCCAGCTGGTTGTGCAACATAAACTTCTACTTCTAAGGGGCCATTAAGGAATGCACACTT